AAATTTAAACACATGCTTTTCTGTAAGTGCATAACTACATAGCATTGTTGATATTTGTAATTGTTTTGCAGGATCAAGAGAAAATATAAAGGAGACTTAGGGAAAAGTTAGTTTTTAAAGGAATTCTTGTCTGAGAATCATCTTATATAGCTATACACGTTTTTAAAAGTTTCAACTGAAATAGCAAGATAATAACATTCAGGGGATTTTCAGGAAAAAAAATGAATAATCCTGGGGGACCAGATACTAAGCTAGTATAAACTGACAGCTCCATTAACTCCACATTAAGAACATGACCCATACTCTGCAGCTCTTGAGTAATCTTGGGTCCAGTTTCAGTTAGCCCAGTGTGATTTCAGCAGTCATAGAAGAACTTTTTAAGTTGTTGGGAGTTCAGATAGGAAAAGAACAGCCACAACCTTAAAAATACGCATACCATTAAATATCCTACTTGTTCCTGTATTGTAGAAATCTCATTCAGGTCACAGAAGATACTGAAAATAATTAGTCTGAATCAAGTTACGTAAAAAATGGAAAACAACATGGGACTCGTAGAAGAAATGAGTAAACAAATAAGCAGAAAAAAGTAATTTCAGGCATATGAAATTTTACTGTGAATTTTTTATCCACCATCATATACTATTCCTAAAAGATCTGGCCTGTGATAAAAGTGCTCAGTGCACCCTGACTGCCCCTTTAGCCTTTCATTTCCATCATGGGGTGGTGAAAAAAGTTTCCTGACTGATAACACACACGCAGTTGTAATTAGTTAGCTGTGCACCTCAAAGAAATGTACTTTTCCATAAATAAAAAAATGCTAGAATTGTTACTTTTCCCAGTCACTGTAAATATAAATAATATTTCAGAGATGTACTCATGTCTGTACTAGACATTATAAATATCTCAGTAAAATACAGTAAATTCTGTTATGCTGACTGAAAATATGGTTTCTGTTCATGCAGTTGTGCCATTCTACATTTTCTTTTAAAAGAACTCTTTCAATAACTTAAAATTACACATTATTCTGCTATAAAGGTGTTCCCATTATATAACTTGGTTTGTTGTCAAATGAGTATATATCTTGCAATTGCTGAAAGTTTCTGTAACTCCTCATGCTACATTCATACTGTTAATTTTAATTGTTCTTTCTCTTAATGAGGTACAAACCTGATAAAGAAATATCTTTCCACATTGTTACTTGAAAATGACAGTTCATGTGAAAAGTCTCATCTCACAGGGGTTTTTAATGCATTAAAAAAGCAATAAAAAGCTAAAAATAGAAATGCATTTTCAGCACTTTCAAGGATGCCTGTATTGACATGCTCAATAAACCTCTTTTTTGTCTGAATTTGGCAACAGGGGCTTCTCATACCTATTCTACTCCATAGCTAAAATCAATAAAATTAACTCTGTTTAGGTTTACAGTTTTAAGGCAAATGTTCCTTGTTGTTGCATTTCATTAGCAGTATTTAGCCAAAGAGAAGACACTACAAAGATAATTTCAAAAACTAAAGCCAAATGCTTCATAATTTGTCTTTTATTAATTTAGAGCATTCAAAATATAAAAATAAAATGCTTTAAACATACTGTATATACATATATAGCCTTCAGTTTTACATCCTTTCCAACATGATTTTTTCAGTTAATAGCTCAGCCTGATCTTTGATAAAATGAGAACAATTAGAAAACAGAAAACATCATGGGCTTGGAAAACTAACCTATGAGCATGCCAGCCCAATCCCCCATTACCCCTGGTGTAATATGGGCTGTGATTCAGTTCTACACCAAAGGACCATGCAAACACAGTTTGGCTGTCATAGAAGGGAGTATTATTAGGCTTCACTGATTTCTTTGAAAACATTTGACACTCTGGGAATGAAGTGTAGACTTTTCAGATTAAAAACTTAAATTCTGCACCCACATATACTGCATATTTCCCAAATGCATCCATTGACCTCTGTGGGTTCACTCCAAATTTATACCCTTGTATTTCACAACAGTATTTAACCCTTGTTTATTATTTTTTGAAAAACAACTCCCTTTTTCTCTTTAATTTAATGTAAAGTGGCTTAAAGTTGTGTGGTTAGAAAGCTGATATGTTGCAGTTTTCAGTTTACCCATGAGTATAAGCAAGGAAAAAATTCCTTGTGCAAAGAAATATTCTGCATCATAGGTTTACATTTTTTAAAAGATTTATGAAAATTCACGCGAAAATGAACTGTCACAGGCAGTTCACAAAGAGCCAAGGTCAGGTACTTTTGCTCACTCTGAGCAACACTTTCTGCACACAGCCCCACTGACTTCCCATTCAGGGGTAAGGTGTCATGTACAGCAGGCAGATGCACAGAAAGCTGTAGCTAAACAAACACAAAACAAAATTGTTTATGATGATGTATTCCCATGTGAGGAATAATTAACATCGTGTCCTGTCCTTGCTGTATAAATTACCCTGATTTAGCTGAAGAGAAGATAGTGCAAACAACTCATACAAGCTAACGATCTGTCTCTCTCTCCCCCAAAACACACTAATATCCCATGAGAATGTCAGGAAAGACAACTTTTACTCTGGAAATGACCTCATGTTACTCAGAAAAATTTGGAAAATTTTTAATGCAGGTACACTTTGTTACAGACTTGTGAATTCTTGAAGTTTAAAAAAGCTGTGCTATGGAAGGCTTCTCTTCCTTTTTCTTTGGTTTTTTTTTCCCTTTGAAGTCCCTTTTTTGATTTGCATGGATAACAATAGGAAGACTTACCCAATAATTCTATAATCCAGTAAAACAACAAGGTTGCCAACTTAATCACTTATTTATTCATGATATTTTTCTTATCTTCTTTTTTCCCCTGTTTTATTTTTAGTGAAGAGCTTGTCTAGAATTAAACCAATGTCTTTCTCATGGTGTTAAGGCTCATCTTATTTCTGCTATAATGGCATAAAGGCAGAATAACATCCATCATGTCACTAAGAGTGTGGCAGAGTGGAAATGCACTTGTGGGCATATTGCCTTTAGTGGTTTCAGAGAAACATTCTTGAAAAAGTGTTCAGCTGAATAACAAGGGTTTCAGCATCTCATTAAAGCTAAACAGCTGTTGAATGCCTTTGAGGCTGAAGAACATGAATGAGCATCCAAGATCAGATTTTCTTTCCTTGGGGCCAGAATACAATACCTGTGTTCTTTATAGAAATGCAGTTCCGTTAACTATTTTTTTAATGCAAAAAGCAAAGGTGACAGCAACCAGCTGAGTCTATCTATATTTTAGTGGACATACTGTGTATGACATAAGTACTGATCACTAAGATTGTTATGAAAATTTACGCACAGCTATCTTGGTGATGAAAGCTGGAAATCCACAGAGGACTGCATTTTAAGAGGGGACTGTATTTTACTTTCCCACTGAATTAAGGTTTAACGTGGTTTGCAGATAGAACAATATATGAAGAATGATATTTTCTCCTTTGCTTTTACTATGTCTAGTGTAATTTCAGTTATTGAAAAATATTTATAAAAATACATAATATATTAATATTCTGTGAAGAATGAAATGTCACACCAGGCTTTTTTTTTTCCACATTCATATTCTGAACATACCTACAGCATGGGGAAAGCATAATAATAGTCAGAACTTTATTATTGCCCAAGGAAAACAAGTAAATTTTCAAAGATCAGAACTTTTGCTCTCTTGAGATTAAAGTTTAAAGCATAATAACTGGCACAGAGTACTTGCCACTGGATACAGAAATGTAGAAAGGGAATTTGCTAATATTAAATAATATCTGTGTTTGTAGCACCACCACCAGTATATCTATAAGGGAAAAAAATGCTTCAGAACAACTATGTAAACTTTACCAAGAGCCATATTTTACATTCATTAAAGCAGAAATTAAAGACAACTTCCTCTTTAAAAAATTACAACGTATTCTTGGGGCCGAAAAAGCTGAACACAAGTGAGCTGAAAATTACGGTACAATTCGGTTTCTCAGTGGGTTTGTTGACTAACATGGCTTTGTACGCATCTCTGCACAGGTTGCATGCTAACAGCATTTTTCTCTACAGTCTTCAGTTTCGCTCAGGTATTTTCCACCCATTTCTGTTTGTACTCTTCACCTGAATATGGTGTTTCGTGAAGTTGGGAGACTGGGTATAGCTGTGGAGAGTTACTTAGCTGGATTTCTGCCTTTGCATCTTCTGACAAAGAGATAACTATTTCATGAGATGTTGAAGCCTCCACTGTAGGCACAAAAACATGATGAAAAAATCCTACCTAAGCCTCATCACCTGAGGCTATCACCTCACCCTGCAAAGACACAGAAAATAGCTAGAAATCACCTTTTTAACTGAAAGAAAGAGAGAAAGAGAAAAAGAGAGAGGCAGAGAGAAAGAGAAATGTACTGGAAGGTGAAAACAAATGTTGTCAAAAGCCTATATTTACAAATCACAAAGTTATTACTACTGCCTGATGATGGAGACATGACAGAAGAATCTGAGAGCCACCTACTGCCTTAGTTCTATATTTGATTACCAAAACCCGACAAAACAACCAAAAATGACCTCTTAATAACAGTGCATTGTATAATCTCATCAACAAAAGGGTTGTTCTCTAGGCAATCAGCAAACACCTCCCATTTAGGCACCTTTGCTGATTCAAGGTATAGCAGAATTTTCTGTGGTGATTTTTCTTTATTGATTTTTACACAAATCTAAATAACAATTGCACATTTAGAAAGTTTGTGGTGATTAAGAATAAATATCTGTGGTTTGACCAGGAGAGAGTGGGACAAGGCTCCATGAGCCCTTTGAGGGACACAAGGTCTTTAAGAGCACAACACCACACTTCTCTCACTTTCTGGTGTTGTCTTCAGCTTTTGCTATCCCAAAAGTCTTACAGGAGACAAGTCATGAGGAGAAATGCCAGGTATCACCAGCACAAAGAGAACAGTCTGTGAGCTAGGCTCAGGGGATGACAAGCCAGCAAGCTCCTTGTGGTCCTGGACTCCCGCATCAGAGAGCAGAGGCTGTGACAGAGTGGCTCCCCTCCCTGGCTGTCTGCATGCCCTTGAACGCCAGCGAGGCAGGGATATCGCAACTGTGAGGGGACAACGGGGTGCCTCCAGCGTGCTGCCAGCCATGGGTTGCCATATAGCTAGATGGAGTGGCGCTGTACGTCATGTAAGGTGACACTTGGGCTGGTGTGGCGTAGGGAGGCATGGCTGGTGCCGACACAAAACTGCTGACAGCTGGGAGGCCATTGGGTGCCTGAAAGGAGACAGAAGAGAAAAACATTTCTGAGAGAGTAAGACACATCAGATTTGCCCTCAGATGCTGCTGGGGCTTTGTACAAAAACTAGGGTGAGTAGGGACACTCAGAGAGCAACCCGTAACCATTCCCCTGAATTTCAGGGGTTCAGTGGCCCTTTCTGCTTTTAAGACCAGATACCGCACTGCAATCAGCACTTCACACTGCTCCCAGTAACCTGTCTCAGACAAGGACCAGCAGCAGATGTTTAAGGAACATACACCGAGAGCAGGGCAGGAACTGCTGAGACCCTTGTATGCCTGCCTATCTTCCCGCAAGCTGTTGTTCACAGACTCCTAAAAGTCCATGGTTGCATCTAATCATTATATTTGAGAGTTACTGCTGGAGGGATTTGTGATGAGTTTCTCCCCCCCCTCTCACTAAGCACCTTAATCCATTTGGCAATGAGTCCCATGGGTTAGAGTAGGTGGACTGCAATATTTACCCACTTTTCCCAAATTTTGCACAGGTAATTTTGGCCACTGTTGCAGGCCCTGTTGGATAGTGCAGTGGCAGTTTAAGCTGAGTGTGCAGTGACCACAGACATACCAGCAGAAGAAGAAACTAATCCATCCTAGTGCCTCATCCATCCTGGAACTGAAAGAGGGTGGGTTCAGCCCTGAGCTGCCCCAGGCAGGTGCAGGCACAGATCCCAAAGCAGCACTCCTGGGGGAATTGGGTACATCTTAAACTCTTGGGTAGCTAGCTGTTTGTTCAGAGCATGAGACAGAACTATAATAGTAGTAGTATTATTGAGGATGTCTTAAAAATATATTTCATAGGTACTTGGAATAAAAACTTTGAAATGTTCTTTGCTCATAGCTCCTCCTGGTTTCAATAGGGCTTCTGTGCAAAAAACAATTGCGGGGCTGGGTCCTTTCCTGTAAGCTATTTTCCTAGGTCCTTCCTTAGGCTGGGGAGAAGGGTTTCTATTTAAATAGAGAAGGGAGAGTCCTTCAGTCAGCCACAGTAGGATTTCACAATTAATGACTCTTTATTTAACTAAAAAGTGTATGGTGGTTTATTTCACACCCTGTAAAGGTTTCTTCAGCACAACAGGTACAAACAAAGATCATTTATCTTGCTTAAGTTTCAATTTGTTTAGTGTTTGTTTTAGGATTTGGGGTGGCATTTTTTCTCAGAAATGTTTCCTGTCTGAATATGAAAGAAGAGGTATTGAGTTAGCAAATCCTGTAGTTATCTGCCATTTTTAATCACCCGGTACAAGTGGACCTAACCTGAATAGTGCAAAGTTAAGAAATGAAACAGACCTTTGTGTCTGCTAAAACTTCACATGGTGTTAACTTGTTCAATTCCTGTCTGGATTGCACCTGCCTGAAAATTCCAGTATTTACCTTCATAAAGGGCATTGGCCTGTTTTCAGGGTCATAAGTTTCCTAGTAAGGTAACTTGATGTAACCAATAAACTTTGCCAGTTCCGCTGGCTGGACTATCCTCTCATTGTCACATGGAAAACTAAACACTAATTCTGCTGTACCCCAATCTAAAACAGCAGGAAACAGTGATGGGACCCCAGCCACAAGCCTCCAATAGGAATATTAATCAGTACAAAGCATAGAGCTGCAGCAGCAACATAATTGTCATTCGAAATCCATAAACACTTTGCTGAACTTGCCTTATCCTTTTGAAAATCCAAATATGTCATCTGACCTTCAACTCTAATTACATGTACCCTACTGTGTCTCAGAACTATGCTTTAGCCTCAGCTCTAAATATCAGTGTTTGCAACAATACTAATTAATATAAACCTGAAAATAATTGCACTGTAAATCAGTACAATTCTTGAATCACATGGAAAATTACTTCATTGAATTCACTGGAAAGTAAAAAATGTGACAAGCCCTAAAAAGCTGCCAATCTCCAAGCTCACTGCCTCTTCCAATGTGTAAACATGAAACAAGAATGAGCACCTCTCTGTTTTTTTTAACAAGCACCAACAAAAAGCTTTGCACAGAGGCAATAGAGCCACTAAAGCCGGTTGTAACACTGGGATATCAAGAGCCACAACCAAACATATTCTGCGCAGAGAAGTACAGAAACCCTGAAGGGGTGGGTACTGGAAGGAGAAAAGACATGGGGCAAGTCCCTGAAGCCTCAAAGCCATTCAGACAGCACAAACCTCCAGCCTTGGAAACTCAGAAGAGGTTTTTTGGACTCTGAGAAGGTCCTGTTTGTTCCTCAGGCTTTCCCACTGACAAGGAGCCTGGTACCAAGCAGTGGGCTCAAGGCTGTGTCTGGAAGCCCCATTTTAAGTAGGATTCCTCGCTATGAGTGGTCATGTCCCATGAACCCTTGATTGTGCTTTTGAAAAGATTCCTCCCAGGCTGCAAAGGATGCACATGTACCTCCAGTTTCCTGTGTTGTTACTGCTGCCCTCCACCACAGAAAAGGATGGGAAAAGCCAGAACTCTGCCACAGAGAAGAGAAAATGTTTCCCATATGCTGTACAGACTGCCATGCTGTAGGATGCTCTCCAAGCTCTAGGCACTTCCTCTTGGAGCTGCTCTTTAGAAAAGGGCTCTAGGCACTTCCTCTTGGAGCTGCTCTTTAGAAAAGGCAAATGCTCTAACAGACTCTCATTTGAGGAAGAACACAACTGTAAGTGCATCCTTCAAATCTGTGCATGGTGTTGCATTATGCTAAGTCAAAATACCACTTGATGTAATCACTTTGTCAAGCACCTCTGCCCATCCCACCACCACAGGCTAAGAGTATATGGGTAGAGAAATGCAAATTTTGGTACTCAGGAAATTACTTCCTCCTGTATATAATGCTGTGTCCAGGAAAAAAAAAATATCCATGGAGGTGATGACTCTGTCTGTACATGTAAATAAAACAGACTAGGACAAAATCTTTGGCCCTGAAGATGAGCAGCACCATGCAACACTCAGCCCCATAGCTAACCTCTCTTCTGCCAGAATTGGGGTGGCCTTATCCACACAGCCTGTCAGGCAGAGTCCCTGGACTGTTCCCTGACCAGCCTCACAATGGGGCGCTGTCTGGCTATATGCTAGTGGACACAGACTAAGTCTGTGCCAGGCAATGTGCTGACAAGGCACCTCTTTGCTGGTCCACCAGTGTTCGAGCCCCTGTCCCACCCTCCTGTAGCTCCTACAGACAAGGCTGCCAGGACTTCCTCAGCAATCAGAAATGGATCACTTTGCATGATTTGAGGCAAATCTGAGCTCCTGAACAGCTCACAGTAATGCAGACATTATTGATAAATATTTTATCAACAGGCATTGTTGATAAATATTTAATCCAATCGCACATGTTCCATGGCCTTATGGCACAAAGTAAAATAAAAGTCTCTGAACTATAATTATTGGAGAAGCCTAAGTTTTTTATTGAATTATACTGGAGGTGCTGCTTGGATACTTGTTGATAAAACATATGGGACTTGACTAAAGATTAGTGAGTTTTCGTAAAAGCTTAATTTAAAACAATACCTATCCTAATTTATAACAGCCAGAACAATTCTTTTACACACACACACACTTATTCAAAATACAACTGTGATAACAGCTGGTTTTATAGCATCTATTTAGAATGTGAGAAAGCTACTGAGGGTAGGATGTGGAGGCAGTTGTTTAGGGACCACCAGTTGCAACGTCAGAGGCCAACAACACTGGAAAGCTGTTGTCGCTGCCTCACTGAATTGGTGAATCATTCTTATTTTTGTTCCACTGCTACAAAGCTTTACCACTCAAACCCATGATTCTATGGATGCCAGTAGGTACTCTCAGCCAAGGAGGCGGCACTGGGATGGGTAGGAACTGGCCCAGCACAGACCATGGTTCTGCTTCAGAGGAGGTTTGAGCCATACCCACAAAGCAGTCAAAGGCCTCCTCTGACCCAAATTAAAAGATGAGGGGATAGAGAAAACCTCATATTGTGTGATTTAAAACTATGCTACTCAATTAAAAAAAAAAAACCAACAAAAAAACCCAAAACAAAACAAAACAAAAAAACCCTCTGATTTTCATCTGTGAAGAACTTGACCCAATAGTTTTAACTGCAAGAGTTTTTACTTCTAAACAGCTTTAGATACAAAGTGTAGGTTATCAGAAGGGTTGAATCTGGTCTGTCAATCTGGCACTTTTTACAAACATGACATTCACTTAAAATAAATGGAGGGGATTAAGTTCCATGACCCTGTATATACTGGATGAATAACTCATCCTGTAGTATTTCAATCAGAGGAAATGAACACCAAAATCTAAACATTCATAATTAGGAGTGCAAGAACCCCATGGTATTTATGGATTTTTAAAACCGTTAAAACTTGCTTTAAGTGCAGAGGTTCTTGAACCTGGTTTTTAAGTTTTATAAATATTTTTTTTCTTCATTTAGACCTTCACTTTTCAGGGGAAATCTAATTTTTCAAAGCAAACAAACAAATGTGTAGCTCTAACGGAACAAGAACCTCTGCTGTGCAAGAGATAAGGGTTCCTGAAAGTGCTTACTCTAGGGCTTCCACAAAGATCAGAGAGAAACATTTGCTCTGAATTTCTGCTTCTATCAATGTTTTGAGGCAACTGATGGAATAAGTATTTCCAAATTTTAGGGCTGTGTTCGAAACCTAGAACACATGACCTCCCACCAATTCGCAAATTTGGTTAAACGTTCTCGCAAAAATACCAGTAAAACACCAGTGGTTGGGTCAGGATCATGAGTTGGGTCTGGTGCCTTTCTGAGGAGTTGCTGCTGATACATGCCAGTGACAGTGAAAGGAATATGCAGGCCAGAACTGAAAGCCACGATGGACATAGCACCTTGCTTTAGGTCACATAAAATGATGCTGCTGAAACAAGCAAACAGCACGTATTTCCATCAGTAAAGGAGTTGGTTCAGTAGCTTTGAAATCCTTAGTTTTAGTCAGTTTAAATACTATACTAACTAGAGACCATTTTTTTTGTAATTGTTTTCAGTCTGTTTGGGATTTGCGACACGGAGGGAGTGGGTGGATGAAAAACAAGTCTAGAACCAAGCTCATGTGGGAATGTCTTTCGAACAAATGATTTCCATTAGCTGTTTGGACTCCTAAAAGTCAAACAGTTCCTCCCCAAACACAAAGTAAGCAGCACACACACCTTGATTTCTGTTATGAAGGCTATGCTTATATAATGAGTTGTACAGCTTCAGTGTCCTTTCTCCTGCATGGTAAGGAGACACAGGGTACAAACCTTCTGGACAAACTTCCCAATGAATCCACATGAGACAAAATACTTTGTTTTTTTCTGCCTTGGTCACAGAAGAACCACAGAAACACACAAGATAGATTCCACTTTCTGTCATCATGGTATAAATTCAGATTCTATATTGTAATGAATTAACATTAATTTTGGTTTTTATCCCCTTCGTTACTTGTCCTTCTCTGACTTTTGCTTGCTAGATATGTGTTCTCTCAGTATCAAAATTAGACCATCTCCTGTGTTCCCTTCCCATGTGGCTTCTAAATGTTTCAGAAAATGATGCAGAGTTGTAGTATTCAAAATCACAGACTTGTATTTATGTTAGCTATCATTAATAGCAATAATGCAAATTATCTCATTTCAGATCTACATGAATACAAAAGACAGCAGATTTGATGCCGTGAGAGGATGCCACCTCAGTTTTATAGTCTAATTCAATGAGTGTCCAAAAGAATGTAAATGTTTCTTCTTATTTTAAAGTTATTATTAACAATTATTTCAATTACTTGTCCATTGTAATATAATTGTTACAATATTTTATTAAATAGATTATTTATTGCATAGACCAGGAGTGCATGCTTGGTAGAAGTATTCTAAATAACTATGTAAAAAAAAGAAAAGTGTTTCTGTAGAAGTAGCATAGGCTTCAAAGCTCGATTTACCTAATTCACCAGCCCTAATGAACCTGGACAGTGACTCAGCCCAAAGTCCCCTGCTGCAGTCAGCAGAAGTTCAGTCTGTGTCATGGCTTAAGAAACACACCTCTGGTGAATAAGGTTGCTCTTTTGTATGTATTTCTCAATTCTGACACTGACTTGGGTGGAATGAATCCTTCCTGTCCTTGGATCAGCAAGCTCAGCACATTGCCTTGATCCTCCAGCGCAGAGCTTTTCCCTGAGAGCAAGTGAAACAAATCTGCAGAGGTACCACAGCTGCCTTATTGGGAGCTGCAGCTCCCCAGCAAAGTGGAGTGCTGGCAGTAGCTTTCGATGCTATTGCAGCTCCACAGAGAGACAGACACTCTCTCACTGCTGGTTTTTCAAAATGAAAACCTTAAAACAATTTCTGCAAATGATGAATCTTTTCTAAATGTCCTGAAAACACAGTCACAAAGTAGATGCCACAGAAGTCATTTTTCCCACAGCAACAAAAAAGCATAGCAGGAAACAGAGTTGAATATCTAGTCCTTCAATCAAAGGAGTAAATTACCATAAAAACCCAGAGGATATCTCATGTTCTTAGTGACATGCACATAACCAGTCAAAAAGGTTATGGCAACAAGACTAGGAGCAGTCAAACACAAACTGCAAACATCAAGGCAGCAAACGTGCTAAATCTCCCTCTTTAATTGGAGGTTAAATATGATTTATAAATCAAACCAACATATGGGATCCCAAGGGAAGAGTAAACAAATTTTCCAAGTAAAACAGCAGCAGCATGCCTGTAATGGAAGTGCCATTTAGGAAAATGGAATGACGAAACAATCTAAGCAATACACCTATGCTTTTTTAAAGGTTTTTAAATTAATAACCTTAAATAATACTTTTGTAGAAATTGTAGTAAACTAAATTAGACCTAAATTCTGAAGCTGCAATTCAGTGCTGCAGCATCAATGAGAAAAATTACATGATTCTACAAACACTTGTTCAGCCCAATCTTCCACTAAAATAATGTGCTTACACAGGTAAGTCAGAGTTACCTAAAGAAAAAGGATTACAAAAGCGAGAACTGAGTAAATTTCCCCAGCTTATGATAACAGATTTTATTAAAATATTTATTAAAATACTTTTTAAATTGCTTAGTTGTATGTGAATAACGCAGTCAGAGTTTACCCTGCAAATCAAGGTTTGCTTTTTATAGTGCTGGAAAAGTTTCTTCCAGAAATATTTTTATCTTAGACTATATACCCATATTTTTAGATGAACAAACTTATTTTATTGAACATAGGCCCCCTTGATTTTCTAATAATTTCACTGCAAGCAGCAGAGAATAAAACAGACTCCGAAAATTTAAGACATTGCCATTAAATAATTTTGACAGCCAAAAAATTTTCAACAGAAGGGGTAATATTTTGTATGTAGGATATTACTTAGAAACATATGCCATTATTTTCAAGAATGAACAATGATAATACATTGGAATTGAGAAGCTTTTAAAAATAATACATGGGCAAGGGTTTTGGAGTTGATCTATTGCTCAGCTGAGCTGCATTGATTTCCAGAAGACTAAGCTTTGAAAAATAAAGAGATACCTTTCAAGAATGCATAATTACAGTATTTCTCTTTCACTGTAAGTTGTGGGAAGCAATGCTGGTATTCTAGCTGAAGTCACAATTAAAACAGAGCTATCTGCATGCCCAGGTCCTCCAAGATTCCACACATTATTAGCTACCCAATCTTATACAGTATCTCTTCAAAAGATGACATTTTCTTTACAGCTATTTCTCCCGTTATTAAATTCAATGTATAACAATGTACTGCGTAAGAAAATCACACTACTTCCTTCTAAAATAAAGTTCATTCCTTTAATAATGAGCAGATCCCATTCCCCATGTTTAACATGCTTTTTTATTAATTTAAAGTTGTTTCCTTTACTTATAGGCATCCCCAGCTGCACTGAATAACATAGAAACCAGATAATATCAATTCAGTGTTTTAACTGTAGTTGGGACATGCATCAAGACCACTCTTAATTATATTTTCTTATCAAGTTTTAAATCTCAGTCTCTTCAGGGAAATAAAATTCCAGGTTTGGAAATAGTAATGGTAACTTGAATTTATACACCGTCACGAATCCTTTCCTAAAGGAGCCAGGGGCATTTTATGCCTTTTCCAAAACAAACTACAGCAGAAACAAAAGAAAATAAAAAGAAACAAAAAACCCAAAACAAAGAAAGAAAAAAATCAAAGAAACAAACAAACAAAACCCCAAAGAACCCCCACTCCTTCTCTGAGACTGAGGAATCTTCTACAAAAACAACAGAGGCAAAGAGAGGTAGGACAAAAAGGCAAGTGGATACAAGGCAGACAGAGGTTGTTGTAAAGCCTAAGCACATTCCAAGGGAAAAGAGATGAGTAAAGGTTTCCAGTCCTTTTTCAGGAGTAGGATGGGTTTAGATAGCTTTCACAGTGAAGTAAGATCTACCACATACAGTACACCAAGCACACACTAATATGTCCATCTGAAATGTCTCCAAACGTAGATTATTGTGCCAGGTCTTTACATTCACTGAATGGTTGCTTTCCTTTCATACTCGAGGTTAAGAAGGGTGATATAAATGGAAGTCACTGCCTTTTCAGTGAAGGTGCTGGTTCTTGGCATATGTTCTGTTTAACAAACCTCACAACCAGACTATCTCAAAGTGGAGTGAAAGCAGATTATGGAGCGCAAAGTTTGATTCTGATGACAAAGATACAACTTCAATCTCCCTTATACATATACACTGTTCTTACGAGAATAGTAGGAAAGCACAAAAAAAATCATGTCATATAAGCAAACTCCTTTGAGTGGGAATTAACAACAGATTCCCATAGTTTTAGAAGAGATTTGCACAATAATTCTGCTTTGGTATTTTTGCCAAATCTGGAGTTGGGCAAGGCACACGTGGACATTAAACAAGCAAACACACTGGAAGGAATAAACATTCGTTCTTTCTACTCTGTTAGTTAACACTATAATGAATTATTGAAAGGTTCTATGAAAAATGTCTTCTTAATATTATATATTTAACAATGTATTGTAATTTCAATATGACATTGTTTAAATGAAATTGAGGTTGGAAGAGGAGACTTGCAGATGCTTCAAAGGGGTCCTCAATGACTAGAAGCTAGAAAAATATGAGGTCAACCTAGCAAAATCTCCACTTTGTCCTGTTCAGAGATAGGCAAAACACCAGTCTCCTATGTCTAACAAATCTCTGATACTGCAGAGGCAGTTACTGGGAAGCTAGTAAACTAAGGTGGGTGAAATTACAGCCCATCGATTGTTGAATGCCTATGGTCATTATGAGTAGATACGTAGGCAATTCCTAAAAGCTGAAAAATTACCACAACAGACAAATTCAAATGCATCATACAGTCTATATACTTGCCAATACACTTGCCAGACTGAACAGATAAAGATCTAATCCCCCTGCTCCAGGCACTCTGCTCCTTGGCTGTGATAGGTATCTGCCATCACTCTCGCTTTACAGACCCTGGTCCTGTTTGTCGTGGCAGAGCTCCTGGCAGGTTGGGGCCCTTTGAGCAGAGGGTGCTCAGAGTTCAGTTTGAGTGTCATTGTACCATTCACTCACCTCTCTGACTTTCTTTATTAGTTTCATCCAGGTGGAGTGCCCTGAAGCCATGTGGGTTGGTGGGCAGGGCACTGTGTTTTGGCTGTGGAAGCAGGTGGCCAGTAAGAGGCAGGTCTCACAAATGGGGTTCGAATGGGGTGCCATCCAGATCACCTGGGAAGGAATCGGGTGCATGTAGTGGGATCATCTCATCCTCCTCACCCACAACATGCAATGATATGGATGCCTAGACCTTGAGCAAGCCACCTTAGTGACAATATTTTAATAACAGGTCTGGTCTGGAGATCCTAGTGAGAGTGACACAGAACCAATCTCCAAGCCAACGTCTGAACCCTGCACCAGATTCTGCTAACAATGCTGCTAGCTACTACAGCAAGAAAGCAAATAAGCATTTGTCCTTAACAGCTTCACCCCCCTCCTCCCGCTTGGGTATGACTGAGGAGCAGTAGGTCCAGACTTCTATCATGGATGGATTTTGCACAGACTCACAGCAGGAATCCAACTGCCTGGATACTGAGTTAGAATATAGGATGCCAAATAAGTAATCTGTTAATTAAAATTTTCAATAAATAACCTGTGTAGGAGGATCATGTAATTGGCCATAACATTTAAGGTTATATTTTCATCTTATTCCCAAAGAAGTTACCATATATTGTGAGTACTAAGCACTGCAGATACAATTACAGATGAGTGGCCACCAAATATACAATTCATTGTTCATCTAGAAATGAACAAAATCAGCAACTAAACATCTTCATTGCCTACATTTTCTGTGCAGATAATTGTCCAGAATTGCACCCATAATTATTTGCAATCGCTTGCCCTAGAATGGAGCCTTCCCTTTATGTGCCTACAGCGTGTGGAGCTCATGACCCCCAGTCGGAACACAGCCAAAGGGCAGGGAGCGATATCCCAGCAAAGCTGAAAAGTCAAGCCCCTAACAGCTGATGAAGTTCAGCTGAGGCAGACATGAGGTAGTTGCTGCTTAGGGTTTTGCCCAATATGCCAGAGGAAGACTTCACTCAAACTGCGTTCACAAGCCACTCTGAATTAGGAGGATTGTTTTCTGTAGCTCCAATAGGTTTGGAGTCAGGCCTACGAACTACGTACCATTTCCAGGAGTGAGCTTGCAATAAGCACTTGCTCTTAGACCCCCCAGTTACAAGTTTTTTCCCACTAATGAGTATCAGCTCCCTTTGCAATGTGCACATCTGCTTCCCACAATGCATACAGAAAGTAATTCTGAAAAAGAAATTATTTCCAAGCTATTTGCCTCTCAGCCATTCATACAGACATACGTCAGATCTTCTGCATTTTCATACATGTGTAAATTCAGACCACAATTTTTTCTGTTTGCACACCCATAATGTTAGTCCAGAAAGTCACAAACATCAGATGTCTGAAAACTGCATTTTAAATATGAGACATGTTTATTAAGTGTTTTCATTTCAGATGCAGGTTACAAATGGGTTTGTGTTGCAGTCATTTCAGCGGTTTTTTTCGTAATGCAGCTTTCAGTATAAGCTGTGTAATGCAAAAAATACTCAGAATATTCACCCATCATATCAATAGTGTAGAAGCTGCTCAACACCACACTGAATGTGCCTCTCTGTATAAATACTGCAATATAACTGAACTCCGTATGAAATGTGTATGACCCAAAACTGCCAAGCTCTCAGAAAAATCTATTTTCCTTTTCAGTTTCTCTGATCCACAGTCACCCTGTTTGCAAAGCTGTATGACAAATTTGTGACTATGATGCACAAGGAAAATTATGCAATTGTTTACGTATAAATGACAACTTGGGACATCAGGTAACTAAAACTGAATAGAAAGTTGACAAGACTGTGATTTCCTGGGAAATCTTTCGTACAGAATCATAGTCTGCTTTTAACTCCTGAAACCCAAATACTGAACAACATTGCAAACAAAAGCCCTGGAGACACCAGGAAATTCATAATACTTGAAGTGAAAAATGTTCTACATCCAGAGATTCAGTTCCATGTTAAACTAATGTCACTGCATATTGCTGAGGCAAAAATGTGAAGTCTTCCTGCTTTTTTTGTGGGTGCATTCCCACTGATCTCTGGGGCAAGGACTGAAATGTAGCCATAGGAACACATTGGAGAGGTCAGCCTTGGCTGCCGTTTGACAAGTCTGGGAGGTCAATAAGACTTTTACATAAAAAAAAGCCTACAGAATCCCATGTCTTAAAGCAGATGTACATCATTTGAAAGAAGGGATAAAATAAATACATTTTTTAAGTACAGAAGACCTTGTTCTTTGGTCCCAATTTTTCTAGTCTTTCTCATGCAGAGCAACTTTCCAGAGGATTTCTTGAGAAGCAAAATACTATCCTCCATGACTAAGGAACAAGTCTTTCACTCACCTAATAGTTATGGAGCTATTTGCAAACTATGGACAGGTAATCTTTGAATGTTGCTGATGCTTAAATGTGTAGATGATACTTGTTGGAAACAGCAGAATTACCTATCACTCACACAAAATCATGTTGTTAATGTGCTTCAGAGCAAATTCTATCTGCTCCTGTTGTGAAATTGGAAAGCCTAAGATAAACATGCACACTTGATTCCCTGCTGCTCTACTGCTGCAGGCACCTCTGATGTTGGTAATAGAGACATAAAACTGGAATATTACAGAACGGTAACTTCTCTTCTCTGGGGGAAATTTGATGTCTACCTCCTGAAGATCCAGCTTTTGTAATGAGCTTTGCCCAAAGGAGAAGAAGAAAACAGCATTTACCCTGAAGTACAAAGACAGAACCTATTTCACCGTGGTCTTTCTGGCATATAAATTATGACTAAAGTTTCCCCATTTTTGTACAACCATTCCAGATACCCCTTTGCTAGGTTCACACAAATGAACCGATGTTCTCTCCTGTCCACAGCTAAGTTATTTACACCCAAAACAGTACACATTGTGGGAGACCATGCAGAGATTCAGGGACATCAGAGTCTTTGCTGTCACCCCAGACTCACTGCACTTCAGCTGATGGACAGCTAGTAAGTCAGTGCTATGTGCAGCAAGAATTTGGTTCATAAACTTCACTTTGCATTGGCTGGAACAAATATTTTGGCAAAAAGGATGCGGCAAAAATGCAGAAAAGTCACATTGTCTTATCCTTATTTGAAATTATTTTTTTCTGGATACATTCTAAATTAGTAAGGAATTTGTGACAAAGAAAGCAACTAATGCACGTTTGAATGAATTCTCTGGAGAGGAAGTCTGAATATCACATGAATAGACTGATCTATACATTAGAACTTTCCAAAGCCAAATTATGTTTACACATATTATTACAGAGAAGGAGCTGAGCAGAATCTCCTCTGTGTCTTCTTTTAGTGAGCAGGGTTCTGAATATGGCTTGTCTGCCCTTTTAAACTCTCTGGACAATGTATTTTGATAAACGAATTCCATTTTATTAATAGAAATTTGCTCCATTTTAAAATAGCAAGTATGTTTAAATTACATTTATCAGATGATCTTTCAGGTTGAACAAAACATTAAGGTAAGACTGGTATTGACAATAGAACACTGATATATTATGAAGGTTAAATCGTATATATTGAAAGATTAAAAAAAAAAAAAAAGAAAAAGATAAAAAATAGTTTCCAACACCAGCATTAAAAATAACCTGATTTACATAACATTGTTCCTCAACGCATCTGTTGAGGTAAATGAGATCTAACAGAGGCAACGGTTTAGAGCCTATGAGCAAGATCCTGTGAATATTTCAGCAGGATCGTGTGCAGAAGGCCCAGACAATAGTCTCAGTACAGCCGTTCTTACAGAACAGTGACAAGTTATTTCCATTATTTTTAGTAAGACTACTAACACTTCTTTTCATCTTTAAAGAAAAATGTACAACAAGGAGTATTAACTCTAAATCTAACTCTAATCCTATCTTTAACCATACAGTCACCACTATACTATAGTGTGCGTTATTTGTGATATGATATGAAATTAACAGAATAATAATGGGATAATAAAAAATGTAATACAAAACAAACAGGACAGTATTAAGGGTGGTGTATTGTTTATGTGTCATAAAACGGTTGTTTGCTTTTGGGGTCTACAATATTTCTCACTCTGCCTAATTTACCTCTTTGCAGGCATTCCCGCAGTTTGCGATCCACATCTTGAACGTGAAAGAGTGTGATTCAGCTACTCTCAGCACCAAATACGAGCTACAAAAGTCTCCTTGACATGGAATCTAAAACCAGACACAGAACTCGGAAAATATATCCAAAACCTCAGTCTTTGAATGGGCAAAAAGCTAAGCAGGGATCGTGGGTTTTCCTCAACTTGATTATAAGCACAACAACTGAGTGGCCGGAAGGCAATGTGTCTGAAAGACCTCTGATACGTTTTGAGATGTTTCCATCGCACGGAAATAACGTTTTCAAAACCTGTGCTTTCCCAACGAGTAACAGTTGAGTCTTTTACAGCTTTTCTCCTGGCATGGGATTTGATTAGCAAATACAAAGGTTTAGACAGAGATTTATTAAGTAACAGTTATATTGTGTTGTAATTAAAACGTAGGAAATTCGCCGTCTACTTAAGCGTTTAAAAATGCTTAATGTAGGAAGCAATTACGCCTCATTTTCAAATTATTCCCCTGCCTACAGAGTACGCTGAGGACAGAGCAACACGCGGCTTTAAGGGCGGCGGCTACTGCGGGACGTGCCCGCTGGCCCGGCCGAGGCGGGGGCAGTCCCGGCAGGCGGCGCGGGGGTCGGTGGCGGCTGTTCTCGAGCGCCTGCTGTGCGGGGGCAGCCCGGGGGCGGCCGGGACGGGAGAGCTGACACCGCCCAGCCCTCCGCCCGCCGGGAGCTCTGGCCGGGATAAAGGCCGGCTGGGTGCTGCCGGGCGCCGCGGCCGCCGGGCCGAGGAAGGGAGCGGAGAGAGGAGCGGAGGAGAGAGCCAGGCTCTTTCCCGACGTCGCCTGTCTTTGCAAATCAAAACCGAGGGAATTCCGGCACCGGCTCCAAACCGAGGGCGGTAGCCCGAGGCCGAGCTCAGGGGCCCTGTGCATCACCGCCCGTCCCTCCCTCTCTCTTTACCTGGCTGTACTTGGCCTCCTGCTCAAGGGAGCTCTTCTCCAACCCGTTCACGGAGTGCTGGGCCGGCGGGTGGAAGCTGTTTCGGCCCAGGCTGCTCCATTCCTCCACCTTGGGGCTGGGGTAAGGCGAAGTGTCGCTCACTGCTGGAAAACAAGGCGGGGGAGAAGAGGGAGTTAGATGCAGAGGCCAGGATGGGGAGATGGAGATGGCTTTGCCTCGGGATGGAGACAGTTCCCTCTCCCCACGGGACGCAGTCTGCGGGGCAGAGCTAATGAGAAGCCGGTCCCTTGCCCGCCACACCTCTCTGAGTCTCCTGGGAGCCTCTGGAGAGGGTGACCTGTGGGCAGAAAGAAGTCGGGTCCCTCTGTGGCAGCGATCACCAGTTGGGCCCAGAGCCGGCTGGGTCCCTCATTCCCGCGTTCCTGCACTGGCAGGACGGAGCTGCCGCCAGACACTTGTCCCCCGGGATCTCCTAAGAAGGATTTACGGCATTCGCCTAGTGGGTATTTGTATGCGAGTCAGAGGACAAACGATACTCCTGTTAGAAAAAGTCCTGAGACGGGTGCAGATAAGCTGGGCTCAAAACAAATTTGGGGAGGGGAAAAAAAAAAAACAAGAAAACAAAACACAAAATTAAATAGATTAAATAAATAATTTTTTTAAAATAAAAGGGAAAATGAAAGGAGGAAGATAAGAAAGAAGGGAGGAAAAGAGATAACAGTCCTATTCTTTACACGCGCATTAGCCGCGGTAAGGGAATACCGGGATGTTTTGCAGGCGGACAAATTCCCCGAGCCCCACCGTAAAGCCCGGCGCGGGGGTGGGGGAGGGGGAAGCCCTCCCCCGAGCCCCGCGCTCGGCCGCATTGGAACCGCCGTGGGAGGGGGCTTTCCCGCGACACCACCTCGATCGGCCCCTCGCCGGGCTGAGGAAAGGCACAAATCTGAAGTTGTCTTAAGAAATTGAGCTCTCTCAGTGAGCGCCCTTTTCTGCTGATCTCACACTTTCCCATGAATAGGGGCTTCCTTTCCGTGTCAGCAAGGTCAGTTTATCCTATAAATCAAGGGCGAACAGCCCCCATCTGCGGCACTGGCCATTCCGCAGCCCCGGCTCTCTGATGGGAAGGAGAGGGGGGAGATTTCACACTGCAGAAAGATGTGTGCCGCTGCGAGGGCCGAGGGAGACGGGGCAGATACCGAGGCACCCAGCAGCAAAGTCAGAAGCCTGCTTACCAATGTGGTGTTAATAAAAGAGGAACTAACTAAAAAAAAAAAAAAAACCAACAAAAACAAAACCAAAAAACCTCCATTTCTCATATGAGAGACGAATGTTCTCATTCTTTTTAATGTTCGTTGCCAATACTACCTCTCCCCAGCACAGAGCGGGGATTTCCAGGCGTGTATTTGTTAAAGACAATTCAGAAACACGCATATTTTTTGTGCCAGTGTGGTCTGAGGATAAAGTTTATATTGCGAAGGGCAAAGAAGGACAAAACTTATATTTTTTTGTATGTATGAATATAAATAAAACATACTTATGTGTGTATATTGCTTGAAAACTACCACTTTTCTAAAGAAATAAAAAGAAAATTATTCTGCAATGCCTAAAAGATTGTTTTGCATTTGAAATGTTGCTGGAATGGGACTGTTGCTGTTCAAAACGCAGTGAAAACAGAAATCACAGCCGCCAGCCCTACCCTCTCCACTAACTGTGAAAGAAGAGTGAGACACAGAGATGACTATAGGCGAAGGTTATTTTGGACTGTTGTTTTAACCAATTTCACTGTTAGTTCACTGGCAGAGACCGAAATGGAAAAAAACGTCTCTTTCTTTGCAGCAAGGCACAGCGAGCGGCCGGGAGACGCGACGCAGTTTCCAGGCAGAGGAACAGAAAGAAGGTGAAAGGGGTAAAAGAGACAAATCTTGGGGCTTCGGTTTTCCTGGACCACCGCTTCGGAGGAAAATACAGCATAGAATGAAAGCAATTAGGTGACATTTGAACTTCCTGCCGGAGCAAATTTGGCCTGATTGCGAAAACTACAGAAAACGGGCTTCTCGGTAACGCCAAGGCGGCGCCCGTGACTGGAGGGCGGCAGCGAGCCTTGGTCAGGACCAGGACGTGACCGGACCGAGTGCTCCTGTGCGAGAAGTACCGTGCAACCCGGGCCGTTCTCTCCGGCCAGGGTCACCACTTCTCGGGCCAGAGGGGCGGCGGTGACGGTTGCTGGTGCGCCTGCAGCCCATCACAGTACCTTCGGTCTGCCTACATTCCGAGACACATCCTCCAGTAAGCTCAGCGCCGGCCCGTGCTGGGGAAAACGCCAGAGGTTTCCCGAATGAAACAACTATAACAACCGTCCGACCCTCGGAGAGGAAGGAGCCCAGGAGCAGGGGACGGAAACGCTTCGGCCCTATCTGGCTGTCTCTGCGGCCCCAGGTCCCCCCCCACCTCCTCACCTTGGTCTGTGATGGACCGGATCCCCAGGATGTCCGTCACTGAGTGAGAGGACGGCCACGTCCTGGGCATGGCCATGGTGCTGGGGATCGTCGGAACCCCGGGAGGGGTGGACACCTTGGCTCCTGCAGCAGCGATGGGACTGGGATAGGGGTAGATGTGGTTGTAGGGCAGAGCAGGCTGTGGGGGCGGCTGGTGCTGCTTGTAGGACTCGTAGTGACTCTGCTGAGAGAGGTTCCCGATTTTGTTCCGGAGGATGCGGCTGATGGAGCTGACCGACGGCACGTTGTACTTGTCACATACGCCATCGGCCAGCAGGCGATCCCGGATCTCCCAGGCGAAGATGCCCGGATCCCTTTGTTTGTAGGTCCGGATATGTTTTACCACCGTGGGAGTGGTGACCCGAGGTTTGCTGCCTCCGATAGCCCCCGGTAGGATGGAGCCGGTCTCGTTGTAGCGAGCCAGGATTTTGCTGACACAGCCGTGAGAAACGCGGAGCTGCCGGCTAATGTCGCACGGTCTGATACCCAGTTGTGCCAGTTCCACAATCCGCAACCTGATGGCATTGGGCAGGGGTCTCCCGTTGACAAACACCCCTCCGAGCTGGTTCACTTCCCCGAAGGCAGGTTCTGCAAGCAAATGCACAAACACAGCTGTCGGACATGGCGAATGGCTCAGAAGGGGGCGTCTGAGCCGTTCCTCATCACAGACAGATGTCACAGGCAGGGACCCCCCGGTCACTCCACGCACACTTCCTTAGAACAGTGAGATGTCCCCGAAATTGAAGGGGGGGAGAAGGGAATAGATGCAAGGGGAGGAAAAAAAACAAAAAAGAAAAAAATAAAAAGTGAGGAAAAAAGAATAAAAGAAGGAAAGAAAGAAAATCTGTGGCAACATATTTCGCAGCTCTCCGGACTGTGCATCATCAGGAATATTAAGGAAAAAAAAAAAAAGGCACATTCCAGAGATGAAAAACGAGATCGCCCCATCAGAAAAGTCGGTTTTATTACCACAGGAAAAAGGAACGCGAAGAGAACGAAAAGAAAAGAAAAACATTTTCGAAGACGTGGGGGAGGGGGAGGACGGAAAAGTAGTTGAGGAAATTCTTTTACATCTTGGTAGAGACGAGGGCAGCGCGGTACTTCTGAATCGCGACTAACTTTTTAAAGATTGTTACTGGTGCTGTTAGCGCCTCTCGCTTAACAGCACGATTACATTGGGCTGTAAAACAAACGTGCTAAAATGTTAACTACTACGATCAGTGTCAGGAATAATATACAACGTGTCACGGGCTCTAGCCATCCCCTCGGCTCCGATCCTGCCTCACACTCGCCTAATAACACTAATAACAAACCAAGTAGTCATTAGCTCTCTCTCTCCCCTGCCCCTGACCCTCAACGTGCTCTTACAACTTGTAGGAACACGAGCAAAGTCAATAAGGGAGCCGCGGCGGTGGCAGATGACGACGCATGGGCGCTCCCCCTCTCTTGACAGCACTTGAACCCTCCTGCGGCTCCCGGACACTTACCCATTCCTCTGAGCGGGGCACCTCGAGGGCGGCCCTAAATCCCAACGAATCCCTATGCCCGGCCACCGGCTCGCAGCCTCCTGCGCTCCCGGCTGCACTGGCCCCGAGTCTCTGATCTCGCGAGGAGAAAGCAGGGGCGTGAAGGTGTGGGGGGGGAATGGCAAGAAATCTGCATCCCGAGAGAGAGCCTGATTCTGCATTTCAACCTCAAGGGCAGCGTGGGCAGGACGGCTGGGCCGGGCCGTGCCCACCGCCCTCCGAGCCCGCCCCGGGGGCGGCCCACGCTCAGCCGCCTCCAGTGGCCAGGGGAGATGACGGACAGCGCCGCGGCGGCGGCCCTTCGCTCCGCGCAGGGCGCTCGGACTGGGCCGCCGCGCCGGGACGGCGGTTCCGCACTGCGGCGGTGAGTTGCGCGGGAAGTGCCCGCAGCGTCCGGGCAGAGCTGACGGGGGTTGGCGGCTAGTGGCAGGGCAACTGCTCGGCCAGCGGGGACCAGGGGGTTTGGCAGGCAGGTGGGGGGCCGGGGGCACGGTCGGCGAGCAGCGCAGCGCAGCGCCAGGCAGCCGTCGGACCGCTGCGCCGCTGTTCTGGCCCTTCTCCCGGAGTAAGCGGCCGGAGAGGGGGCTTCGTGGCTAACAGAGAGGTTCCCCTTTTCCCCGGCTGAAGCAGAGCGATGTCTTGACACACACGCGGTTTCCCCACGTTGAGTTTGCAGACGCGGGAGAGTTCTTTCTCGTTTGTGGTAGTCTCGTTATAATAAACCACCTTTTCGCTAACGAATGTTTCATGGGAGGTGTACGAGAAGGCTGTGAGGGATGAGAATTGAGTCATTTTTTGTGGAAATCACAAACCGGTCGGGAGAGGAGCTGTATTTTATTTTGCCGTGGGAGGAGACGGGACGGGTCTTGTAGTGCCCGATACCAGGATGCTGGTGCTCTCCAGTCACTGCAGACCGACACGGGTCTGGTGCTCCCTGCCCAATGGAGACCGGCCCCGGTATTGTTTTCATCCCCACAGTAAATATTGCACTGCGCTTAACCGTAAAATGTCAACGCCTCGCAGCTGATTGCGACTTTATCAAAGGGACTTATATATATTAGCAATTAAAAGAAAAACAGACAAAGATGGCAGGAAATAAAGAATATGTGGGTCACGGCGTGTATGTGGAAGAAGTGTTTGCTTTGGCATTAGGTGTACGGATCGAGATCCCAGCTTGTGTGTGTGCCTCTTACATACGCCCCACTTACATTATGTTGCACAAAGAGATCTTGGGCTTCCCAGCTCCAGCTAAGAATTTATCATGTTTTTCTGTACTTTTTTTTCTGAGATTCGTCTTTGCTGCTTTGTTTTTGGTTTTTTGTTTTGGGGTTTTTTTTAGTAGAGTCTCAAAGTACAGGCTCTCTACTTTAAATAAAACTTGAAAAGAAATAAGACGGTGATGGGAAATATCAGCAAATAAACCACCAAATTTATGTCACTGGTGTGTATAGGCGTTATATATTGATACAATATTTTAACTGAAATGTTGTAAGATATTTTTATGAAAAGAAATAACTGAGCTTGATTTCAGAACCTCGCACATATCGCAATGATATATTGCATTCCTAACTGTGAACAAATAGGATGTTGCAGGAGATTTCCCAGAATTTGATGGCATGTTGCACGCGTTTTGTGGTGAAAAGAAGACAATCGTGGTTCTTTTGCAGGTATCTCTTAGTTTGATCGGAATATCGGCGGAGACTTCTGTTTTCTCCACGCGGATTTAAAAACAAAGCAAAACAAAAATCTACACAAGAACGGCAACTTTTCTATTACAGTTTTGTATTTACTTCAGAAACGTGAGTTGCCCTTTCAGAGTATCACACCAGTAAATTGTGGTGCTTTCTCAACCTAGATAAAATTACCTCTGGTAAAGCGGACACCCCTCATACCCGCGCAGATGCCACTGTCCGAAAGCGCTGGCATTCTGTGCAGGAGGTACTAGCAGGCATTTGCTGAAACCATAACTCCTTTCAGAGTTGTGAGATGACCTCCTTTGGCTATTTATAAGGCAAGAGGCATCGAACTAGTGGGACTCGGATCCAGCCTTTAATTAAGTTATTTATGTACTTAAACAATGAAAGGGAGTGCGCGTCCGTAAAACTTCCGATCCTCTTTAACAGCGTATTTATTGTCGAAGCACAGCCTCTTGTCGGGATCACAGACGAGGCTGCCTGCCCTGCAGGCGTGCCTTCCAAGCCCGGTGGGGCCTGGGTTGCCCGCCGTCCGCTCTGCCCTGCATACTTTGCCCGCCGCCCCGGCCACCCTGCACACGCGGGACTCCCGTCACTCTTGCTCAGTCGAGCGTCGTGTGTCCGGGGGCCGTCTCCGGACGCGCGGATAGTGTAAGCCCGAATCCGTCGCTCCTGGACCCGCTTGACACTCCTAAAGCTCTCTCGGGGTTGCTGGGATGCTCGGGCGTGACCCTGCGCTGCTCTCCCACGCTGCCAGGGCAGCTTCTCTTCTCATCTATGCCTATTGTGTTCACAGTTGTGTCTTTTTCTCCCCCCTTCGCTGTGTCCTCCAACCTGTCTGTTCTCCCTCCTTTCCTCTCCCACCCCTCCACCCTCGAGCCCGCCTCTGATCTCCTGGATATTTGGTTTCTTTCCCTTTTTCAATGTGTGTTCCTGATGTGGTCCTGTCGGAAAAGCTCGTTTACTCTGCTCGAGTCTCCAGTGGTTTAAGGATAATGTTTATCAGAAGTGAACGTGCTCAACTTGTTTCCATTCAACTGCTGAGTGTGGGCTGAAATACCAAAGGTCACATCTACAGTGAGTCGGTAGAGGGCAGGGGGAGCCGAAAGGAATATGAAAACATTATAACTTACAACAGCCTGTTGATCGCTTCTGACCTGTCTGGCAAAAAGATTAATTTTTTCAGGTAGGAAATCATTGAAGAATCGGAAGGGAAAGGCGGCAGGGAGAGGAGGGCCAGGGGCGCGGGTGGTCGGGACTTCTCCACCCGGGAAAGGGCACGCGTCCCCAGGCAGGGGGGCTCGCTCTGAGAAGCGGGTCACTCCGCCGGCGGCTGCCCCGGCACGCACCCGCGCCCTCACCACGGGGTGCCCCGGCTGGGAAAAGCAAAGTGGGAGCTGGGGGCGGGAGAACCTGCAAGAGATTCGAGCCGTGGTCAGACAGAAGCTGGGCTTCCACTCCCTGCCTTCCCCTTCGTGCCGAGAGGGACAGCCGGTGTCTTTCGGGGGTCACTGTCTCTGCCCGCATCCCCCGACACCGCGGCGTCGCAGAGGGGAGGCAGAGGTGCTCCCCCTCCTTTCCCTTCCCTCAAACCCGGCTCTCTCGCCCTCTCTTCTCCACGAAACCGACTCGCGTGAGTTGCCCGCAGCAAATGGCCTGTACGGCGGCCCCAGTGCGCGGCCGGTCCCGGCGACGCGGCGGCTGCCGGTCCCTGGCTCCCCGCGCCCACGAAGGCCTTCTCCGGCCTTTTCCAGGATCGAGGAGAATGCCAGAGAGTGCCCAACCTCCCGGAGCTGGGAGCAGGGTCCCGACGCTGCGGTATCCCACCCCTCCGGCCGGGCTTCGGTGCACCGCCGTGCTCACCTCGGCGTGTCCATCTCCTGCCTCTCTGAGCCGCATTCATGAGGCCTTTCTGTTGCTCATTGCTCCCGAGATGCCTCCGCTCTTCCATTGTAGGAAGAAACCAGGCAAATCCAACGCGGCACACACTCCAGCCCCTCTTTGAAGCTGCAGATTTTCACTGATTATTTTTTTTTTGAAGGAAAATAAACCCCTCTCCTTCCTCGATGGGGTGGGCTACTAATATAGCAGGGTATTTTGTAAGTAGAAGCGCCCCCTGATTCGTCCCAAAGGAAAAAGCCTCCCGCACCATGTAGGTAGTCAGGTGGCCGAGTTTCTCGAGGTGGCGTAGGGAAGGTGTGGGTCTGGGGGGCGGACAATGTGCGGCGGCCGGAGGGACTATCGCAGCTGCCCTGTCCTCCCCGCTCCCCAGCTCCTGCCGTGCGGCACAGAGCCACGAATTCCCCCATCCCTGAAAGCGATGGAGACAGTTTGGTGGGCAAAGAGCACCTTGGAGCTGTAGCAGGGGCGAGGGGGCAACGCAGTGGGAGTGTCGGAGGATCTTCTGGACGCTTCTGAAAGGCAGGCAGGGAAAAGCGGGCAGAGGCAGGCGGAAGGCTAGCGACAACTTTGGGTTATGTCTGGAGGTGACCCATCTCGGAGGGAAGGTGCTATGTGATGCGGAGAGAGATGAAACCCATGGAGCTTTGAGACGGGGCTTTCATTTTGCCCAGAGCTATTCCTGCACTCGGGTGTATAAAATCTCCCAGGATCACTCTCATTTTCTGCGAGGAACCAAACACAGGATGAAGGGATCTTCACACATCACTTGCTGCTATTTGCATTTCCTTATGCCACAAAATAGCTGAGCACAGCAGGTTAGCGAGGGCTCCGTGCCTCAAGAGCGGGAGGAGGTGCGAGGCCGGTCGTGGTCCCGGCTGACTTCGTCGCTCCCGCTCCCCCTCCGAGGCTGCGAGCCTGAAAGTATCCGGCCTGACCCCCAGCTCTCGAGTGTGCTGACCCCTCTCACGTAGCCTGGGACAAGAGCACATGCACTGGCAAACGCTTGTGCGAAAGAGAGGGGGGGATTTCACAGGGAGATGTCCTTTCCAGCCAGCGTGCGGCTGCAGACAGGGACCACTGCCCCCCACCACCACCACCTAACCCTTCGGCAACCTCCGAGCTCCGCCTCTCTGCAGGGG